TCAGGAGCCATGTAGCCCATGGTTCCAGCCAGAATAGTGGTTTGTGATTGTTTCCCGTGATCAAAAAGTTGAGCCAACCCGAAATCTCCCAGTTTGGCGTTGAAATTTGAATCCAACATGATGTTGCTGGATTTGATATCTCTGTGCAACACACATTGTTCCCATTCTTCGTGTAGATAGAACAATCCGGACGCCAAGCCTTGAGCAATTCTGTACCTTGCCTCCCAACCTAACAAGTTTTTTCCTTTGAACAAATGGGAATCTAAGCTTCCATTAGACATGAACTCGTAAACAAGTAGGAGTTCTCTCTTTTCGTGGCACCAACCAATGAGTTGCACCAGATTTCGATGCCTAAGTCGACTGATGATCCTTACTTCTGCTGCGTACTCCTTCAGCCCCTGTCTAGACCCACTTGATACCCTCTTAACAGCAACATTTGAGTCCAAATCTTTTACAAAGCCTCTGTAAACCCCACCAAACCCTCCCTCTCCAAGCTTCTCTCCCTCGTCAAAATCGTTTGTCGATTGAGCCAACATCTTGTACGAAAACTTCTTTGGGCCTGTACCCTTCTCGAATTCGTCATCAATTGGATCGTTGATCATAGGATCTTCATCATTGTCGCTACTTTCCCCTGTTCCCCCCTTCTTCCAAAAAATGAACCAAACCAAACAAAACCCACCAACCAAAAGAACACACCCACCAACAACCAGCCCAACCACAAGTCCAATGTTGATGCCATTTCCTGACCCGGGTTCAACAATGGGGGTCGGCTCAGGAGCTACTGGTGTGTTGTTATTTGCATTCTCATCAATCAGCGATGTCGAATTGAAACTCCATGAGTTGATCTTGTACAGAGCAGTCATAGCACCTGTTGCAGCAGAGAACCCAACAATCACCCAACCCTGCAAAATCTCATTGACATCAACCATGTAATCAAAATACCTTCTAACCCGGACACCATTTTCATAAGTAGTAAATGTAACGCTAAGATTTTTTGATCCAGAATCGTAACGAATCCAAGCATTATTGAGTGGTCCCTTTGTAATACTACCATTCCACGCCCTGGTAACCTTAGACTTGACAGAGTTGACATCAATACCAACATGATCGCCGGCGGGATCTTCGACAGAAGTGAAGTTATTTGAGTAGATATCAAACTCCACTGCCACAAACGGGTACAGATTCGTGGACTCGTTTTTTTCTGGGTTTATGACGGGGAGGCCAAGAGCGCCGCCTCTGCCTATTGTTCTGTTGAGTGCAGACCCGTTTGGAGCCAAAAAGAAGGCAAGCCCATCTGCATAGGGTGTTTTGTCTAGCGAGTCAATGGCGAATGTGAAATTTGTGGTGAAGTCGGCGAGTTTTCCCGTGGCGTTGTCGCGGAGGAGGAAGGGTTGGCTGTAGGTGGCTCGACCGACGCTTTGGTCTTGCACTTGGTCAGCAGTGCTTTTGGTGAGTCGGAGGAAATCACCGCCGACGAAAGCATCTCCCTCAAGAGATAGGGTGTTGATGTCATCATTTGTGAAGTTGGGGAAACTGAAGCTTAATGAGGATGCAGCAGGAGCTAATAGAAACAAGAGAAGAAGAATGACAACCATTTCTAATATGCTGGTAAGGTTACAGATCAAATTGTTACGTCTAAAATAGAACAGAGTGTATAGAGAGTTTAATATTTGAAAGTGCTTTAATCAGCAGTTGGTTTCTTTCCAATTCAAATCAAAATAATTTTCCTTGGACATAAATAAGGAATTGAAGATTCAAGAGAATGCTGGTAGTGATGGGATGGGAGTTGGTGTCTTACGTGGTTGACGGGGTGAAGTTGATGAATAGACGGGTCATGTAGGACTACAACAAAGGTTAATTCCACACTTGGGATGCAGACCCCTTTAACAAATAGTATAGCTGCGCAGCTTTAAATATAATATACTTAAAAAGTATAGCCGCTCGGCTATACTACGGTTTTTTTTAAATATGAAAAATAGTATAGTCACGCGGCTATACTTGTTTTGACACGTGAGCACGAAATCACTGTTGAGAGCTAGACGGGTTCTCTTTTTTTATATTTACAAATGCGGGTTAAGCCAAATCCACGTGTACCTCTGTGAATCTAGAAGGTCAGTTTTAGTTGAGAAATGTTTTGCCCGCCAATGCTAGTTTGTCTTATTTTGGGCTTGATTGGTCCTCTGTACCTACCTTGAGTGACGATCCTTTAAGTTGAGCTTGAGCTTGGAACACCTAAATTAGGAATGGACATTTGAACTAATAAATTGGTGAATCAAACCGAGCCGGAAAAGCCGTAAAAATCAATTTTGGCTTGGACCATTTTAGTTTCTGATTTTTGGCATTTCTAATTTCTTTTGGGAGAGAGAATATTTCCGAGAGAGTAGGTAAGCTTTACAGATCAAACTGTCTGTTAGTATTGATTTTGTGATTGGCATTTCCTAGAGACAAATTAGACTAAATATAGATGGTAAATTAGTTGTGATGGTGGCTGTCAAAATTCCAAGATATACTCTGAAGGCTCATATGTCAATCAATGATCACTAAGGTAAATTCTTCATTCAATCATGCATCTTGATTGTGGTATTTCAGGCATTATTTCAAAGTCACAATCTATTTAACATTTTGATTAAGAAGATTTTTTATTTTAAGAAAGATTAAATTGCTTTCCTGTTCTGAACTTTAAAAAGTCTTCTTTGATTGGAAATCAATTAGTCTGATTCTGTCAAATCTTATATTCATGATTGAATACAATTTGTGGCCTCATGTTTGGCGTCATCACTTAGAACCAGATAGGAAGTTTGGGTCTGTGATTCACAAGGCATCTAAATCTTATATTCATGATAGGAAGTTTTGCATGGGCTGACGAATTGATGTAGGATTCTAAGTGAATCAAATATGATTAATGGCAAGTGATTGAGCACGTGATTTGGTGCTCTTCTCTTGCAAAAGGAGAGTGTGGTTTGTATAAGGAGATGTTGTGTTCTTTGTTTGACACAGTTTTCATATAGTTTGTTTGAGCATCTAAAATTCCTAAGAAAGCTGTTGTGCATATATTTGAGATAAATCATCAAGTGTTCCATGTTTACTTGGTAATTTATCAAACACTTTAATCATTCATTTGCATTGATCGGTGACTCATACGGTTGAGGACACCAAGACCGTGGTGGCGGTTTTCCTCCGGCGAGCTTGAAGTAATCGTGGCCAGTATTGCGTTCAACATAAGGAGTGTCGAAGATCATCCCGTGACAGAAGTTGAGTTACGAAGAAGTTGGTAAACATTACCTAGAATGTGTCTAGAATAAGTGTGTGAGTATTTCTTGTAATCATCGTTCTATAGTGGATTTGCCTTGGACTGTCAGGTCCTGTGGGATTTTCATCAGAGGTGGGGTTTTACCACGTAAAATAACTTCTGTGTTTTTATCTGTTTTTACGTTCTGTACTGTAGAGGATTGATACATCGTACCAATCCTTTTGGCGTGTTTTTATATATTACTATATTATTCTTCACTACTCAAAATGCAAACTTTACTCTTTCACTCTTTTAGTGTTTTAAGCCATCCTATACATATTTGCACTGTCATTTAAAATAGTACTGCAGCAGCCCTATTTTCCCAATTCAAACCACAACTTTTCATGGAGAACTTAAAGAATTCAAATATAAATATAAATTTTATATATATATTTATGTTCCCTTTTTGCCCCTTCCCATTCACATCTCTTTCGATTCTAAGGTTTCGTTCGCTCAGAGCTTTCCAGACCGTTTCGAACCAGTTGGTTGGGCTAGTTGGGGGCAGCCATGGAAGATCAAAGTTCACTGTTTTGCATGCGTGTGGTTATATACTCCTCTCTTTTTTCTTTTTCTTTTTTAAATTTTATTTTTATGCCTCCAGATCAGAATTATAATTCTAATAGATGTTATAGATTTTCTGTTTGCATGTGGTTATAAATTTTCTGTGTGGCTGATTTTTTATTTTTTTTGGTTCTATTCTGTTTGTACTTATCTTGATTGTTTTCCGATTAATTGTTTCAGCAGAGATCAGTTCCACAGTACTCTGATATATATATTTTGATGTTCAACTACGAGTTTGTCATACGTATGTGTGTTTAATGTCATGAAGAGGTCTTTGCAAGTAAGACTTTGTACTTATTTGTTGAATGTTATGTTTCTTCTCTCGCTTGGCCTCTCCGATATCACTCTTTTCTCCATCACTTCATTTCCTTTTGCTGTTAAATTTTCTGATTTCGGTGAATTTGAGGGGTATGAATGGAGGGATGGAAGTGAAGGGAATTGGGTTCGGTTGTGTGAGTGAAATTATGCATCTTTGTGTGTCATTTCAGTCCAAGTTTGTACCTTTGTATATATGAGTGTGTTGTTCTGTTTTGATAAATGGGAAGGCAGGCAGCTGTGATTTGGTTTCTATTGTTGTTAGATTTTGAAATTTTGACTGGTAAAGGTATTCTCAAGGGAACTGACTTTTTGGACTGTATTTGCTTTGTTTCAAATGCTTTGCAGTAAATATTTCTCCGAAATGAACCACAAATTATATACACTACTTAACCCAAGCAAACAAAAGTGGGTGTTTTTATGAGTCATAATATATATATATATATAATTAATTTGATGTTAAAGCTCCTTCAATTTGTCATTTTGGATATCTATATAAGTGCATATGTTTGTAAATCTTTTGAGAAGTAGACCATTTTAGATCATTCTTAGGTTTTGCACTTCCTCAGCCTAAAGCACTTGTGATATATAATACAATTTACATAAGAGCATATGCTTTGTAATTGAATCATGAGAGCAATGTTGAATGAGGGGATCCGTACAGAGTGGTTTCTTTCCGTACAGATTTTGCTCTAGCTAATTTTTTTTGGTTTAATGAAAAGATTGTGCATGTATAAAATACTCAAGCTAATTTCTTCTCAGATTTTTATGTTTTTTCTTCCTTTTTCTTCTTCTTTTTTTAAACCATGTTTTCTTTTGATATTTTGCAGGTGGTCTTTTGTTGCTTTGGATAGAGCAGTTTGGTTGGTGTTTTCAATTCTGTTAAGCAAGGGGTGAGTTTCTAGGCTGAAATTCCAATTAATTGTTTTAAGGTTTGTGAATAGAGCATAGGAATTAGCTAATGGCATCAATTGACAATTGGTTGGTGTTAATTTGTTGTTGTAATGATAGATTTAGATGATTACAATATCTGAACATGTTGGTAAATCCTTTGAGTGTTTTGGCAATTTGGTACTTGAGAACTCCCAGCATAAGGAGAGAGTGACAATGCGTAATTGATTGGAGGGAAAAACATGGTGTCTTTCTCTTTGTGTGTAGGTGAGTCAGTGGGGAATCAATCACTGGCCTCGTCTTTTACGAAGCCTCTGTAAACCCCACCAAACCCTCTCTCTCCAAGCTTCTCTTTCTCATCAAAATCATTTGTCGATTGAGCCAATGTCTTGTACGAAAACTTCTTGGGGCCCGTCCCCTTTTCGAATTCGTCATCAATTGGATCCTTGATCATAGGATCTTCATCATTGTCCCTACTTTCCCCTGTTCCCCCCTTCTTCCAAAAAATGAACCAAACCAAACAAAAACCACCAACCAAAAGAACACACCCACCAACAACCAGCCCAACCACAAGTCCAATGCTGATGCCATTTCCTGACCCGGGTTCAACAATCAGCGATGTCGAATTGAAACTCCATGAGTTGATCTTTTGCAGAGCAGTCATAGCACCTGTTGCAGCAGAGAACCCAACAATCACCCAACCCTGCAAAATCTCATTCACATCAACCATGTAATAAAAAAACCTTCTAACCTGGACACCATTTTCATAACTAGTAAAGGTAACGCTAAGATTTTTCGATCCAGAATCATAACGAATCCAAGCATAATTGACTTGTCCCTGTGTTATACTACCATTCCACGTCCTGGTAACATTAGACTTCACAGAGTTGACATCAATACCTACATGATTGCCGGAGGGATCTTGGACAGAAGCGTAGTTATTTGAGCAGATATCAAACTCCACTGCCACAAACGGGTACGTGGACTCGATTTTGTCCGTGTCTATGACGGGGAGGCCAAGAGAGAAGCCTGTGCCCATACGTCTGTTGAGTGCAGACCTGTTTGGCGCCAAAAAGAAGGCGAGCCCGTCTGCATAGGTTGTGTTGCCTAGCGAGTCGATGGCGAATGTGAAATTTGTGGTGAAGTCGGCGAGTTTTCCTGTGTCGTTGTCGCGGAGGAGGAAGGGTTGGCTGTAGGTGGCTCGGCCGACGCTTTGGTCTCGCACCTGGTCAGCAACGCTTTTGGTGAGTCGGAGGAAACCATCAAGGGAAGCATCTCCCTCGAGAGATAGGTTGTTGATGTCATCATTTGTGAAGCTGGGGAAACTGAAGCTTAATGAGGATGCACAAGGGGCTAATAGAAACAAAAGAAGAAGAATGACAACAATTTCTAATATGCTGGTAAGGTTACAGATCAAATTGTTGCGTCTAAAATAGAACAGAGAGTGTATAGAGAGTTTAATATTTGAAAGTGCTTTAATCAACAGTTGGTTTCTTACCAATTCAAATCAAAATAATTTTCCTTGTATCTACATAAATAAGGAATTGAAGATTCAAGCAGTTGGTTTCTTACCAATGCCCATTCCACGCCTTGGTAACTCTAGACTTGACAGAGTTGACATCAATACCAACATGATCGCCCCTGGGATCTTTGATAGCAGCCTCTACATTGTAAAAGATGTCAAACTCCACTGCCACAAACGGGTACAGATTCGTGGACTCGTTTGTTCCTGAGTGTTTGACGGGGAGGCCAAGAGAGCCGCCTCCGCCTATTGTTGTGTTGAGTGCAAACCCCTTTGGCGCAAAAAAGAAGGCGAGCCCGTCTGCATAGGTTGTGTTGCCTAGCGAGTCGATGGCGAATGTGAAATTTGTGGTGAAGTCGGTGAGTTTTCCGGTGGCGTTGTCGCGGAGGAGGAAGGGTTGGCTGTAGGTGGCTCGGCCGACGCTTTGGTATCGCACCTGGTCAGCAGCGCTTTTGGTGAGTCGGAGGAAACCATCGAGGGAAGCATCTCCCTCGAGAGATAGGTGTTGATGCCATTTGGGAAGCTGGGGAAACTGAAGTTTAATGAGGTTGCACAAGGGGCTAATAGAAACAAGAGAAGAAGAATGACAACCATTTCTAATTTGCTGGTAAGGTTACAGATCAAATTGTTGCGTCTAAAATAGAACAGAGAGTGTATAGAGAGTTTAATATTTGAAAGTGCTTTAATCCGCAGTTGGTTTCTTACCAATTCAAATCAAAATAATTTTCCTTGAACTTGATCACGCTTGACATGCACTTATTTAATTACTTATGCAGGATTGCCGTCCTGGTAGAATATATTAAGTTTAAGTGATCCAATTTCAAGCCAATTAGTTGTTTTCACAATATTGGCCTCATCATTCAGCATCTGTTCCTAATAATTAATCTGGTGCCTTAAGATTAAAGAAAGATCATGGTCTAAATTTTCTTGTTTATTACTTTGTGTCTTTTGTGTGGAGTTCTATTGGTTGGCGTGGGCTGAGAGTCTGACACATGTTTTGTGGGAACTAAAATGTCTTTTTCGGTGGATTAAGAAGGCTTGGATTGGAAATGGTTAGAATTCAGATTTGAGAGTTCGGGTTTTCAGCAAATGCATAGTCATTGGTCATGATTAATGACCCGACCCGATTCGGAAGTTCTAGATGTACCTTTGTTTATGGTTAAAAAAAAATATACGAAGGAGAGGAACTTCGAACTTGAATGTCTTGATAATATTTTTTAGTTTCGAATTAATATTTTTTTATTAATTTGGATTAGTTTTTTTTAACTGTTTTCTAATAGTTGTGACTTTTCTGATAAAGTTTTAGAAGTTTATTTAAATCAAACAAAGCCTCATTCGTTAATACAGAAAAAAACATTCTACAAGCACATTCATATTGTTTGAGAGGAAAACAATCAAAGTTTGCCACTAGGGCTTAGAATACAGATAGTTGAATTCTGGGGGCAGTCACCTATAGAACTTCAAACACCGAGAAGGGGTGAAATACTATCTTTTGGACATTGCATCAAATCTACAAGCCTCTATCTCGAATCCAAGTTATTAGTTCATTTATTTATTATTTACTGTATTTCAAATTACAGTTTGTTATAAATTCAATTTCGTTGGTGTTTATATTTTGTTGATATATATAATCATTTTTTTATTAGTCACTGATTGTTATTTTTTCCAACACATGGTAGGTAGCTCTACCGACGTTCTCAGTTTCTCCTGGATTTCTGGTGAGTGATGAGGTTGCTATCAATATCAGCAACACCCTCGAGGGATATGTTGGTGGTGACATTGGAAAAGCTTGGGAAGTTGAAGATTAAAGGAGATGCAAAAGGGTTGAACAGAAAGAAGAGAAACAGCAGGAACATAAGCTTTGGTTGTGAGTCACTGGCGGATCCACAGAGGCGCAAGGAGGTGCAGCTGCACCTCCCCTCGCCGGAAACTTCCTTGGGGATGCCATAATTTGCCCATTTGCTCGTGCCTACCAATTGTTCGACTAAATGCCTCAAAGACGTTGTATTGTTTGCTGCATTGTGAGACCCTAAATATTTACCATATATTGTTGGGCTCGATCTCATGAGCATGTAGGAGAAAACGACTCATCAATCGGAGCTCCACAACCAAAGTTATGAATTTTCGAAGTTTTTCTAGAATATTTGAAGTTAAGTTGTAGAGGCACAATTCAAGGAAGAAGAAGACTCCGCGTCAGACGTTAGCGCTTCTGATTTTGATTCTTTTTAAAATTTTCCAATATCAAGCCAACACATGTCTATTTCTAATTGGTCTAAATTAAAGAACTCATATGTGTGCCAAAAAATTCACCAAAAATTACCCCAAACTTTTAATCATGTGTACTTTTGTTTCATGACCTCCAATTTACATGTGCTTTTGGTTAGATTAATTGGTATTGACTTTTGTTAGATTAAATATGTAATTGACATGGATTTTGTTCATATTTGATATGAATTTTGGTAAACTAATTGTGTCAATGACAAGGATTTTGTTCATATTAATTGATATCCATATAGACTATAATCAATTAGTTGTAGATGTAAAACTCTTATTTGTTTTAATTATGAATGACATTAGTATTGGTTAAATTCTAACGGCATTTGGTTGTATAATTTTTTTTGTGTGAATTTTTAGCCTTATTTTTTTTAACACACTACTCAGATGTTAGGACTTGAACCCAGGGTCTTGCTTGAGTCCTTTGTAAATTTTTGGCCTTTTAAACATTGCACCTCCCTTGAAAAATTCATGGATCCGCCACTGGTGAGTGTAGTGGGATGATCCCTTTCCCATAATTATTGAAAACCATATCTAACTTTTTGTGGAGACTGTTTGCAGAATAATCATATCTTATATAGTGCAGAATGCAGATCACTGCAGAGTTAAAGCTACCAAAGGTGCTGTTCTTGTTTCTTTTTTTTAATCTTTCTTTGCTTGCTGGGTTTTGCCCCCTTGTAAAACAGAAAAAAAAAGTTTCCAGCGTAGCCATTGTTTTTACCAATTCATATCTGAACAAATATCCTCGGAACTATAGTTCATTCTTTATGGAAGTGTTCGAAAGCAAACAATTGACCTTTCAGTTTGACATGGTATTTGTTTATGTTTGGTTGCTGGCACGCCGTCCTCGTACATATGCAAACGATTCCATTTGAAGTCAATCAATTTTCAGCTGGGCAATGGCAGAGAGACTCTCTGTTTGAGTTCTTGTATCTTGTGCTAAAATATGAAAACTATGAGAGAATATTTATTTGTGGGAATTTTCTGTGTGTTCTTCTCCTTATAGGAGGTCATATTTATAATACAACGAAAACCTGAATGAGCAAGTAAATAATACATTCCTAAATTTATTTACAGTAGAAAATTAGGAATTAAAGTAAATCAATTACAATTATAATAGGAATTCTTGGTGTGTAAGGAAAGTAAGTAAATATCCACAAGTCACGCCAACACTCCCCCTCACGTTGGTGCATAGATGTCGCAAATGCCCAACTGATCCAGTGAATTGTGGAATGCTTTATTGGAAATTGTCTTTGTCAAAATATCTGCCAATTGATCCTCGGATTTCACAAAAGGAAACTGAAACACTTTAGTCTCAAGCTTTTATTTGATGAAGTGTCGATCCACCTCAACATGTTTAGTACGATCATGCTGAACTGGATTTTGTGCAATGGCTATAGCAGCCTTGTTGTCACAAAAGAGATTCATTGTGGATGTAGGTTTATACTCAAGTTCAGTAAGCAACTTTCTTAACCAAAGAAGTTCACAAATCCCTTTAGTCATGCCTCTGAACTCGGCTTCTGCACTGGATAAAGCTACTACATTCTGTTTCTTGCTCCTCCATGTCACCAAATTACCTCCCACGAATGTGAAGTAACACGATATGGATTTTCTATTTGTTACATTACCTGCCCAATCTGCATTTGAATAACCATAAATATTTAGATGACCATGCTTTAAGAACATAAGTCCTTTTTCAGGTGCAGACTTCAAATATCTAAGTATCCAAAGAACTGCATTCATGTGGTCTTCACTTGGAGAGTGCATAAATTGACTGACAACGCTCACCGCATAAGCAATGTCTGGTCGAGTATGTGACAAATAGATCAATCTTCCCACTAACCTTTGGTATTTTTCTTTGTTAGTTAGAACTTGATCCTGATATTCTCCAAGTTGATGATTCTGAACAATAGGAGTATCCGCAGGTTTGCAATCTAGCATTCCTATGTCTGTCAACAAGTCCAAGACATATTTCCTTTGAGATAGAAATATGCCTTGCTGCGATCGAGCCACCTCAATTCCCGAGAAATACTTGAGTCCCCCTAGATCCTTCATCTCAAACTTAGTAGCCAAATAGTCTTGTAGCTGTGATATTTCCTGTTTATAATTCCTAGTAATAATCATATCATCAACATAGATAATTAATGTTGTTACCTTCCCTTTCCGATGTTTCAAGAACAAAGTATGATTTGAGTTACACTGTTTGAAACCATTGTTCTTCATTGCCATGGTGAACCGTCCAAACCATGCACGTGGTGACTGTTTCAATCCATACAATGCTTTTCGTAACCTGCAAACTGTTCCAGTCTAAGTAGTATTATATCCAGGAGGAATGTCCATGTACACCTCCTCTGTGAGTTCTCCATGTAGAAAAGCATTCTTTACATCAAACTGGTGTAGTGGCCAATCCAAATTAGCTGCAAGGGACAATAAGACTCTGACGATGTTTAACTTTGCAACTGGAGCAAAGGTTTCTTCATATTCTATACCATAAGTCTGTGTGTACCCATTTGCCACAAGTCTTGCCTTGTATCACTCGATAGATCCATTTGCATTGTGTTTTATAGTAAACACCCATCTACATCCGATAGTCTTTTTTCCTCATGGTATTGTCTCCAATGTCCAAGTCTGATTTTTCTCAAGAGTTTTCATCTCATCTTTTATAGCTTGGACTCACTTAGGTTCTTTCAATGCTTCAGAGACCTTGGTCGGAATATGGATAGTAGACAACTGGTGCACAAAAGCCTTGAGTGGTTTAGACAGCTTGACCGTTGAGTTAGAGAGGGGGTCTTCATCTTGTTGTTCTGTATTGTCTGTAGGTGTGAGACTCGGATCAGAAATATCTTTGTATGGATCAGGTGGGTAAGGCAATTGATCGCTATGAATGGGCGATTGATCCCTTTTCGGCAAAGAGTAATCTCGTGCTCCAGACTCGAGACGATCGATCATTTCTGTACAGAGGAGAATTTCTTTGTTTTCCAAGTTGCTCTAATTCTGCTCTTCACTTCGTATCTCCTCCTGAAGCGTAGAATTGGAAGATGGGTCATGGAAGAACAACTCAAATTCCAGAAAGGTCACATCCAAAGTGACATAGGTACGTCGGGTAGGAGGGTGATAACAGCGGTAGCCTTTCTGATGAGTGGCATAACCTACAAAAACACAACGAAGCGCACATGGATCAAGTTTGCTACGTTGATTTTTGTGGAGATGAACAAAAGCCACACATCCAAAGATTCGGGATGTAAGTACCAAAATAGTAAGCAGAGGTCTGTGCTGCGCAAGCACCTGTAAGGGAGTTTTAAAGGTCAATACACCAGAAGGCATACAGATGATAAGGTGAACTGCGGTGACAATAGCATCATCCTAGTGATGGCCAGGAACATGAGCG